CTGTTGGTGTGGAGCTTTCCTGTGGGCAGACACGAGTTCAAATTCACCAGCTGGTTGGGCATGAGCTGAGAGAGAGCCAAGCCTAAAGCCAGTTTTTGGCCTGCCCTCCAGTGCTGGGGCATACTTAAACCCATTTGTACTGCCCTGGAATCTGCAGTGGGCTTTGTAAATAAACAAACATTGTGTTTCCACAAAACCACTAAATTGCTGTCTACTCCTCTAATCAGAGTGTTTTGAATGCTGACGTTCCTTGACAGTATCGGGAAATGCCATCAGAGACCTAATAAAAAGAGAGATCTCTGGTGAGGCAGCTTTGATAGAATGGATGTTTCCTACTACTGACTTCAAAGGAAAGAAAGTGAGCCCAATATTATTGTTGTTCTTTTAAAGCACTCCTTTGGCATCAGTGCATGACACCCTCCACTCCAAAAGCTGAAAACACTTTCCAGACTTCCACAACATTCCCTCGAGTCAGGCATGGAAACTCATTGTTTAGGTGAAGCAACTCACAAGCGGATAAGCTGCTGCATGCAGACCACTTTCCCCACAGATGCAGGGCTGTCCCTGAGACTCCTCTGTAGCTGTAGCCCTGTAGAGATCTCATTTCCCACCCTGCATTGCTGGAGACACACTCCCCATGGACTGCAGACGGCATCAGACTCGCCATCTACTGAGAACAGAGATGCCACACTGGTTTCCTCAGAAACAGAAGCAATAATACTAATCTGCTCCACAGGCATTCCCCTGTATTCCCAATAACCAGGTCGCTGCCCATGAAGTGTTACAGATGCAGCCAAGCCTTCTGATGAAAGCTCTCACACACTCACATCATGTCAAACCACCTGCGTCAGAGACGTGCAGCGAAAAATTTACAGGAAGTTCAGCCAGAGCACAATCTTCAGTGCAATCTGTACAAAAATCTGTTTCACCAGTAAATTGCAAATTGTTAGTTTGTGTGAAATGGTGACTGGAACACAAGATCTGCCCTGGAATGCTGGAATTGCCTAAAGACACCCTAAGGCAAGTTACTTATCTTCTCTGTCTCAATTTCCCCATGTTTAATGCAGTATCTGTGGTGTCTCAGCCTTAGGGATTCAAAAGAACTGACTACAAACAGCACAGGTGCTGAATTTCACTGTGTGCAATAGAGCACCCAAATCATTCCATTCAGATTCCTCCCAAACTGAGTATCTGGAATATATACATGAAAAAAAGATTCTGCTTCAAAGTCTTAGCTCTCTAGGCAAACACAGATAAACAGGTCTAGAACACACAGAGGAGGCATTTGTTCCTTTGAAATACAAAAACCTAAAGGCATTAACCATAAACATTATCCCTGTCCAGCTCCTTTCATGAATGTCACATACATTATGATAGGCAATTTCTATAAACACTAATTACATCTGTAGAAATTACATACAGATAAATCATTTACCTTGATCCTGTCTGGGGAGGCCCCTGAGCACACATGAATGCAGTGATGGGAACATTGTTTCTACTCCTTACAAAGCCACAAGAGTACAAGAGGGTAAACTAATAAGCCAAGTACAGATTTGTCCAAATCAAACAATTCTAGACAACTAAATGAGCAGCTCTGTATTTACATTTGCAAGCAGAGGCTTAAACCAAGGATGCAATATCTGGAGATAGCATGCTTCTACTCACCAAACTATTCAAAGAACTGAAAGGCAGCAAAAGATGCAGTTATGAGAAACTTTTTCTCTTCCTTTTTTTAAAAAAAAAACAAAAACATTTAAGCTTGCTAATTTTTGCTGTCTCAGACAATCAAAATTCCAATTGTCTGGGACATCAAATCTAAAAAAGCATGAAATTAATCTTCAGAAGTTAAAGTCTTAAAGGCATTGCATCATTATTTTTGTTGGATATATTTTTGATTATAATGCAGATGAACCCCAAATTTAATAAAACTAAAATAACATGAGTTAAGTATGAAACATAACAGGATATTGCAAAGAGATTAGGTAGTTTCCTTTAGACTACTTGCAGAGCCCAAGGAAAAACCAAACTGAAAGATACAATGACGAGAAGGCACCACTTAATTAGAATATTTAACAAAATATGAACACAGAATACTCATAGTACCAGCTTTGGCAATGGAACACAGTGAGCAGAATATGGACCCAAAACATCAGCAGTGCTCCACACCAGATCCTGTTTTGCCTGTCGCCTGTCTGTAGTAAAGAAAGAAGCAGGCTCACTAAATTCAAACCAGCTGCAACGATGAGAGTGTTACAGTTGGACTGAAGGAAGCTTACCTCATGAAAGTATTGTGGAAACTGCTGTTGGAAAGATAATAAAAGGATTAACTGCAGTTTTAGTGAACCATTTACTTTTCAATCAAAATGTCTCATGTATTTCCTGTTCTCAAGTAGCTTGAATTCCAAAATTCCTTTGTCTATTACAGTACATAGTAGCAAAGCCTGTCATAAGAAATTAATAATTTTACATGGAAAAGTACTTTTATGTATGAGGGCAGGGTGCTGTTCACTGTTAGCTTCTCCTGAACAGTTCACTACCTACTCAGGCAGTAATCTTACAGGCAAGAGAGAAATCGAGGGCTTAAAAAGAAAGTACAATGGGTAATTGTGAACAGCTAAAGAAAATCTCCACTACAAATACAAGAGATGCAAAGTTACTTTAACAGAGCTACAGCAAAAACCAAACAAAATCTCAAACCTCTACAGACAGAATAAATTGCCTTCTTAATTTGCAGGAATAACAGCACAATTATTACCACATCAAAAGAAAAGCCATCATTTAAAATGACGTGACATCACTGCACAACACAACACTGCACAGCAACCCCTGTTTCACGTGGAATGGAATTCACTGGGCAAATAATCCCCACTTAATATCTTCAAGGAGCTGTGCTGCAGCTTTGGGTCCTGCCCCTGCTAGATTAAGCTCTTTTCAAGGTATAAAAACTAAATTTGCAAAAAAGAGATGGTTTCTGTGTATTCTCTTGGATCCACTTCCCTCCCTGCAGAATTCCAGACTGCAACATTTAACACACGATACCTCTGCTGACAGTGGATGGCTCTGACTGTGGGAAGAGAAGAGTTAACTCCAAGTTGAGCAATGTGGAGCTCCCAGTCCTGATTGGGCTGTTCCATGTATGGGAACAACTACAATATCTGCTCCAGTAAAAGAGATCTTTATATGCTTACATGCCAAGGCTATATAAATATGACATAAAGGCTGTCTGCAATATCAGATGCAGAGGTTTTTCCAACCTATTCACCAAACCTTGATGTGTTATCAAAAGCTGGCACTTTACTGCAGATGAAATTAATTCAAAGTAGGACATTTTTAGCATTTGCTAAGCTATCACAGCATTTCTCTGGTTTACCAAGTTTTCTGTAGGAATGGGAATGAAACATTAGAAATCTACCATACAATACCTGTTAAATATGCATTTTTCAGGAAAAGAGACAAGTTCCCTTATCCACAGAGTCTACTGATCTTTCAGCACCACAGGAAACTAATCAGGCCTTCATGTTTTAAGTATGTTTTCAATCTACTTACCTACACTTTGGTTTGGAAAGAAGCAAACTTGTATTATTCTTTGATAATTTATAACTAAAAGTGATCTATTCAGGGGAAGTTAAATTCATTTGTACATTTAGAAAATGTCATTGAGCTACTTCTGGAATAGAACCACTCAGTTCTTGCTTTCAAAGCAAAAAGAAACACATAAGCCTTAGAGTGTTTCCATTTTGAACAATTTGATGGTATTCTCTAAGCATGTGCACTGCTTTCAGTATTATCTTAGGGAATACCCACTAAACTGTGCAGACATTAAGATAATGTTTTTCACTTATCCAATGGAAGTAAAAGATAATCAGGACAATCACTTACAGAGAAAATTTTTCTCTGCAACACATTTTGAATACTCTTGTTTTCTTCCTTCTCCCTTCCATAACCATCGCAGGCCTGCAAGCTTTTCCTACAAATATTCTTTCCTATTCCTCCATAGAAAGCTACAGCTTACCATGGAAAAGTTTTCCATTGCATCATGCTCTGATCAGAACAATAAAATAGACATATAGCTGAAAATTCTGCCTATCACGAGCCCAACCTGCTGCCACAACCATTCCCTTTGTCTGCACATTTTTGTGCGTGTGCATGCGTGCACACGCGTGTGGCTGTTACAAATGAGACTTTCCAAATTTCGTGGCCCAGTTTGGAAGCTTATGTCAAACTTGTTTTGCTTCATCTGTTTCAGTCAGGGTCTTATATCATTGTTGTTTCAAACATGTGGAAAGCTTAATGGAAGTCATTAACTTTTATTTTAGTTTGGCCATATTGTCATCATGGTGGGCAGATGCAGAGATGGTGTTATTCCCAAGATCCTCTTTTTGGAACACTGCTGTTGTTTACATCTTCTTGATCAGAAGAGAACAATGGTTTTTACTTATTTTTAAAGCTCTGTTTCGCAAATTAAAAAAGCCCCTAACAACCTTTGAAAATATAATTGAATATATTCTTTTTAGTCTTTTAACTGTTTAAAATCCTTTAACAAGTTTCTTTCTTTTGTCTAAACTACATTTGAAGCTTTTGCACTCACAACTCTATGGGTTATTGTTCAGCTGAAGGAATGAAAAGAATTTCATTAGATGTGTTTTATGTTTCTTGATTAAAAATGTCACCCGAGGCTCAGTGACTTTGTTTTACGTTAAATGATGGCTGCGTGCTTTGATCATCACTTTATTAGTGGTTTAATGAATATTAAAAAAACAAAGCACTGTATTAAAAGTTAAGCTCTCATATAAGGAAACCGAATCCCTTCTCCAAGAACTACAGTATTTCTTACTCAACCATTTCCTTCTAGATTAAGGTTTTCTCCAATTCCCCTTTAGCCCGCTACAGACTAAGTTACAGGAAAGCACAACAATTATATTGGAATAAGATCGAAGAGAGAGCAAGAAAGAGAGAAGGGCAGTTATGTTTCTATTCAAACAAATATAACCCAGACTTACCATGCACTTGTTTGGTTTTTCTCCAGAGTGAACCCTCATATGAATCAGCAGTTTGTAACGAGCATTGAAGGGTTTATAGCGGCGGACACAGCCTGCCCAGAAGCAAGTGAAGTCCTCTCCTTTCCTCTGGTCAATGTGAGTCTTTTCTATGTGTCTGACCAGTTCATCTTGTTGGTCGTAAGTGGCACTGCAGTCAATCCACTGACAGACCTGCTTGCCACTGCTGAGGTCCTGCTCATCGCCGTCGCTGGGCTGCAGGGACTTGGGAGACATGGAGGTGTTGAGGTGAGGCAACGTCCCTGGGGTCTGGCTGAGCTGCTGGTGGAGGTGGTAAGGGGGAGGCAGCCCCTGGTGATGGCGAAAAAGATCAGCAGTGGAGGAATAATCGTCAGCCGGTTCTTGTTTCAAGAAACTCACCTTCTGGGTGCCGTGCGAGGAGTTCTGGTGAGGAAGGCTCGTGCCATTCATCATAAGGCTGAGGCTGCCATTCTCCTCGACTTGCTGCATTTGCATCTGCTCACAGTCACCTCTGTCACATTCAGTGGAAAGAGGTACAAGACATGCTGGAGGGGAGGGAATACTGCAAGGGTTTCCAGGCTGAGAGCAAGACTGGGGCTGAGAGGATTTTTGAGCGCTGTGATGACTGATCTCCACAGGATGAGAGGAAATGCCAGCTGAGTTAGCTCGCAGTCCATTCACACAGGTGACCAGTGACGTCTGCGACGTGCGGATGATCGCTGTAATATCGATTCCTTCGGCTGAAGACGGCACAACAGAGATGCATCTCTTCTTCAGGTTGCTTGTTTGTAGCCTGGCCGAGTGCTGAGGGGTGCCAAGTGACAAAGGACCCAGGGAGGAGCTGTGTTCATTATTAAACAAGTAGGATGAAAGTGAATTTGTAAAGCTATTATTCATTAGGTCTAGTTCAGGATGCAGACTACTGGAGGCTCTCAGCTCCATCCCCTCTGTAATCCTCCTATATGTGGAAGCCTCAGACAGAACCTTATAATCACTGGGGCATTCTTGTTTAATGTGCTGAGCCGGGTGACTTCCATTCAGGCATGGAGCAGCAGAATCTACTGAGTCTTGAAACCTGGGTGACCTGCAATACAGTTTTCATTAAGCATCACTAACCACCACAGGGTTTATGATTTTTGTACAAGACACAACACCTGTTAAGCCCTGTGGAATGGAAGCACTTGCTCTCTGCTGATGTTGCCTGTCTAATGCAGCAATTACACCCAAAAAATCTGCAATGCTTCCTCTCCAACCTGCGTAAAGACAGCATCATTTTACACAGGATTAATCTGACACACTGGGTTACACGCGGAACAGAGAATCTTCACTGCTACAGGCAGCTCATCAATCACGATCGAGGCTTTCAGTGCATAATAGATTGGGCAAAACAATAGCTCAGAATGAAGTTTGAGAACTTTGGACATTTTTGAATTATTCAAATATTGTCATTTTCCTCACAGCACACTGGGAAAATGCCTCAGCATTCTTGTCGACACAAAAAAGGCTAGCTGAGCTTTGCTTACATGTCAGAGACACGCTTTCCTTCGCTAAATTAAAAAAGGAGTCAGATCACTGAGCAAAAAAGGAATACAGCAAAAGAACTGCTTGCTTTCAACCAGCACTCCAGAGTCAATGAGAGATCAGCTGAGTATTTACTTCCACAAAATAAAAAGTTCACAGCCAGTAAATTTAAAACGGCAGCCTATATACTCCCATCTCCATTTTTCATAATAAAGAGTGCATGGGACTGTAAATCACAGCTCTGTTTTGCAGAAGTGATTTTTCATCATTTTTCATGTGTGTTGAATCCTTTCATTGAGGAAGCAGAACCTTGAGGAACTCCACAAAAGACTTTTCAGAAAAGCACTGCATTAAGAAACATTTCCTCCTAAGATTTTCTTCCAAGCAGTTAGCAACTGGTTTATGACTTAAAATAAAACATTTTATCTCAGCTATAAACATTTACTGTGGATGATCCAACTGTGTGCTTTTTCTTAGGAGCAGAGGGTGTTCCTTACATATCCCTAAAGCATGGGAAGGTTTAACCTATGGCTTCATTGTGCTAGACCAAGGAGAGGAAACAGTACATCTGTGTGCAGGAAAGGTGTACCTGAGCTAATAAACCCTCCAGAGAAGTGCCCCATGGTTCTTAAGCTGACATGTTCCACTTAAATGAATTTTATGCTTTTATGATGCTAGCACCACAAAAGCTGAAGAAAACCCAGCCATTTGGCAGCTTGTGACACCACAGCTAAGGCAGGTCTGACACATTTTAAAGCATGAAACACATGCACTTAAAAGTATTTTGGACATTTATACACTAAACAATGAACCTGATGAATAAACTGCATTTATTTTACACTTTAGATTATTTTATCACTATTATTTCCATTAATCCATCACTAATATTAAGATGGGAAGCTGGGATAACTTCTAAAACTTTCATGGTAATAGCTCTCAAAAGAACAAAACGGGATGGAAAAAAATAACAACAATCAAAAGCTTAAAAATACTTCCTTCCCATGAAATTAAGGTTGTCAAAAACTGGCACCTGTCTGAGGCACACAACTGGGAACGCTGCATTCACTACTGACAGGTTTCTAAGTTCCAACAGGGCTTAATGTAAAAAAACCCTTTAAGATCATGAGATATGTTAAATTCCCCACCATTCACTGATACAGAACATTCAGAGCATTCATTTTCCACCAGAAAGTTTAAAACAGTGCATTAAAAAATTTCAGAGGTTTCCATAAACCATTGTTTGTAATTTCTCCCTTTAGGTTTGCACAGTTGGTCTCCGGATAAACGTAAAGCACCTGTTTCTGCAGATGGCAAATTTATATTCTAAAAAACCAAACCAAACAGCATTCATACATTATTTTTTAACATTTACAGAACCATATGTCTGTAAAATATGTGGCATAAGTATATTTTTATTGCACATGTTTGGGAAACCCTGCTCTGTTTGCTCACTGAAAGAGTGGTGCTTTAAACTCATTCTGAGAAAGGCTTTACAGCATGTTATGCCAGGCACAGCATTTCCTATTACTTGGTTTCTGCTGTACCAAAACTCTTCTAAATAATTCAGTCTGTATCACAGTTTAGTGGTCCCAAAGCCTCAGGCTAAAGTAAACTCAACATATTTCCTACATTATATAAAGCTAACCCAAGCCTTACATTTCAGCCTGTGATAATTGGTGTTGTATTATTAAGCCTTATGTAAAGCTCCCATCTTGCCAGAAATCCATGAGAGAAGTTTGGTTTTTGATTAAGCTGGAATCAGTGCAGAGTACCTGCAGGGTCCTGAGAAATACTAGGTTTCAAAATCCTCAGGAACAGTGACCTTTCCAGCAGAGGATCTTACTCAGAATCAAGACTGTATTGATGTGATGTTGCAGTGCAGATTCTGAGACACACAAAAGAGAGTTCTGAACCACAAGGCAAGCTGGAATGCCTTACTTCAAAAGCAAATGAGATGAGGGCACTAAAGACATGCTTCCCATTGCCACAGATGTGTCTTATTCATTCTCTGCCTACAAAAGAAGCACAGGCTGCTTGTGCAGGTCAGAACCAAGTCCTCTCCAGGATCTGCAGTTTTCTCTGTAGTACTGCATATTTACATACATGATTCATCCTGTGTTAGTTAACTCTGCTGGGAGAAATCCGACATTTCTTCAATTTCCTGATGTTTGAGTGTTGGGGTACCTGATGTCAAGTGCATTAATACAAAGTTCCTGTATTCCTGGCAGAACTTTGCCACCACTATTCTAGGGAAAGCCCTGCTCATTTCTCTCTGTCCTGGGGGGGTTGAAGGGAGAAGGGGCACAGAAACAAAACCAATGCAGGAGTGACACAAGGTGTCTGGCAGCCAGTTTGCAGGGGGGCTTCCCTTATATCCACTGACTCTTTGCCCCTGGCATTTTGCTCTTACAGCCACGGAGCCGATTCCAGGCCTGGTACCCACAGGCTGCGCTGGCTGTAGGGATTTCACAATCTCTGGACAGTAGCCAAATATAAATATAAATGCATATGAAATTAACAGGTAAGATGAGAGGGACAAAGGAGAGCAGGGCAGTGCAAGAAGCCCTGGACACACAGACCAGCATCAGCAGCTCTGAGGGGGCTTTCAGATAAGCAATCCTGGAAAGGTCAGCAGAAGAATATAGCCCACAAACCTCCCTTCAAAGGGAGCATCCACGCACCAGGGATGGACAGTGTAAGAGAACAGAACTGCCTCTTAAGCTCATGAAAGCTGAGTGTAAGGCCTTTGAAGAGTAACAGCAGCCTCTCAGAGGATACTGAGGCAGTGTTTCCTAAGAGACTCCCTTACGTGGTAATTGGAGCCAGAGCACGAGGCCAGTAGCACCATGCCAGAAGCGCTGCAGTTCCCAACTGCCCTCAGAGGAAAAGATGACTGTATCTGAAATCTCCGGATTATTTACAAAACATACATGCCTTCAACTGCCACTGGAAATGTGCACCCGGTGATAACTGACAGTTTCAAGAAGCTGGAGGGGATTGTTCTGCTGCACATCCAGGGACCCTGTGCAACACTATCCGAGTGCTCTGATGTCTTCCCTGGGTTTTACACGCCGAGCACTGAGCGCAGTGTGGGCGGGTTTGCCGTAGCTGATAATGGATTATTTGACAAAAGGCCAACATTAGCTGTGTGCTGCCTCCAGTTGTGGTGAGGAAGGTATTGGGACTTTTCCAGTCCCACACACATTGCATTCACAGATAGAATGTAGCAGCAATTATGCTGCACAGCTTAAAAGTTATTAACTGAGTGGGGAAAAGGGGCCAGGAAGAAGGATCATGGTTATTGGACTAAAGCAGTCATCCCTTGAATACAGTTTCCAAGGGAAAACAATTTCAGGGGGAAGCTGAAGAGGATAACAAGTTTCAGTGCATTGAAGAGAAAAAAGGACAATCAAAACCCCAAATCCTAAAATCAGATTTTTGATTGCTAGGGGAGGTGCTCCCTGGTTTGTTTGGCTTTTCCTTGGATGTTCCATAACCTAGAAATGCAAAGTGGTTCAAAGTTCTACCCAGAGATATCGTTTGAATTTATGTCTCCCTTTATTTCTGTGCTGGTCATTGGAGCTGGGCAGAACAAGCAAAGAGAGTTTGTCCTGATGTCCATGTGCTCCAATATTTGACAATTGCAGCCCTACTTCTCTCATCCATTTTCCCATGAAGGCTGAGATCTGGGGAGGCACAGAGCACCCTTGGCTCCCACTGCCACTCCTCTCCTGGGCATCACTCCCAGTTCAGGCACTTCTGAGTCACCCATATTCTCCTGCTTTCAGTTTCAGGGAAAGACCTTGTTTTCTGTTACTTGCTTGTCAAGAATCTTTAACATCACAAACAGCATGAAAATAAATGGTCTGAAATGCTGTCCACCTTCTCTCAAATGCCAAGGTTTTGGCCCTGTGCCATGTGTCTCGTGAAATGCACTGTGATATAAGGAGACACTGTGTCTGTGAGGATCACAGAGCAGAGCTGGGCATTGGCTTCATCTTGCAAATCCCACGCACACAAATGCACTATTAGCCAGGTGGACATACAAGCAGAGCATGACCAGTGGGACACAAAGCAACCCATAATGTCCTTCAGGATATTCTCCAAACATTTCCAAACTGAGAGGCAGCAGAGTCTCAAGGCTTTAGACCATGCCACAAAGCAGAGGGAGGGAATCAGGCCTATCACCTGCTACTTTCTCATGTTATGCAGTCAACAATCCTTTATGTTGTTCTGGGAATCCTCTTCCAAATGGAGACTGGAAGGGGTTCATATTTCTGAGGATGGGTACTGTGATGCCAGGTATGAAGGTATCTGTCATTTCCTCATTATAAAATTTACAAAAAGGTTCAAAAAGATCTAAGCAGAGTGTTCTCTTCTTCCTTTTGTTTGCTCCTGCCCTAATTATCTTTGTTTCATAATTGTCCTCACTGACAGGATGAAAAAAAAATGTTGATAACTGCCAGACTCACACTGAGCCATAAAGAAACCAGGAGGGAGCAGATTTACTGCTGCAAAGGCATCTACGAATCCTTGTGGCAATAGTGGATTATTTTGTTGTGGCATGAGTATTATTTATCCTTTTCAAACAAACAAGCAAACAAACATGTAAAAAAGTCTTTCCACTTGCTTGCCACATTACCGTGCCTCTTTCTCCTGAAAACACAGATGTTCTTAACCCACCAGTAAACTGAAAAGGGGAAACAAGGCATGAATATGTATAATAAAATCAGGAACAGTCGGATTTTCAAGATCAAGCTGTAGGCCATATTTCCCCTTGCTGTGATTATGGAAATTTCAGAGCCTGATAGGTCCATCCACAGAGTGCCAAATATTCCAAGTACCTAAGATAAAGGCTGCAACTTTATTGAGGCTTTTCTTTTCTACAACTCTTCAAAAAGGTCAAGATTATTCCTATTACATCCACTGCCAAAAAGCAGTATAATTAAAATAGATGGATAGATTTTAATTTGTAACAGGTTTCTATTCACAATGGATGTCTGTTTAGGGTACTTGTTTAAAATCTGGTAATGTTAAATTTGTAACAACAACAAAAAATAATGGAGTTTTGTGTTTTCATATAATTAATTTATAGCAAATGTTTAAATAGAGATTCTGTTCATAGCATATCCAACTACACTGTATATATCAAAACCAGAGACCAAATTTTCACATTATGGCCTTAAAAGCAAAAACCAAGGATGTGGCTGTATGGGAACTCTGCAAAAACTTCATTAAGGAAAATGCTGTAGAAATAGAAGTGGCACTGGTTTCCTGTAGGCTTGAGGTTGGCGTGCCAAATCACCGTGTGGGGGACGCTGGGTTGGGTGTAAGTATCATCCCTGCCTCCCAGGCAGTAATTTGGTGACACCATGGCTTTGGGGTGGAGCCAAGGGCACGAGCTGGTAAAAGCCGGAGCGATACCTGAGATCCGAGTGCGCCAGGTTGAGCTGGCCCACGTGCAGCAGCCTGTCCCGGGACAGCGCGTGGTCTCGCACCAGGGAGTTCCCCGTGTGCAGGAACAGACCCTGCCTGCACACAGGCACCGAGCTACTCGTCATCTCCATGTCCATCATGTTCTTCTTCTCAGAGATCAAACTGCAGTGACTGTAGCCACCGTTCACTGTCAAAAAAATAAGCAAAAAAAAAAAAAAAAGATAAGGGTTTGACTAAGAAGTCTCTCCACTGACAACTTTGTAAACTCATTTTGGATTTGCTTGCAAAATTCTCATATTTACAAGAGGAAGTGGAAATGAAAGGTTTCACAAGGAAGCAAAAATTCATTGCCAAGGAATTTGGATCTGGGGTTGTTTATTTCTCATTGTAGAGAAATGAAGCATCTTCTGGCCTGCACAGTCAGTTGTATTCGGTGGGTTTGGACTGAGGTGTTTAAGACCACTTTGGATGCCTTTCAGCTTATAGTGGGTCTTTCTGAATATCAGCTCTGCCCTACTTGTAACCATGCCATAAATTACCATTATATATTCTGGAGTCTACAGCTCCAGCAGGCTTTATTCCATTCCTCTTCTGGCTTTATCGCATCATAATTTAAATCACTCCAGAGTCAATACCAACCTTAGCAGGACTTCTGACTGTTAACTGGAGTAGATTAATCACATTTAAAGAGCATCTAAATACACCGTTGAACGCTGTGAATAAGTTTTTAAAGGCCACACCACCAAGAGAAGATGGTAAATCAATCATACTACAATACCCAATTCACAGTTCCTCTCTTTCCAACAGCAGAATTACCTGGAATACAGTCAAGATGTATCTTCCCTCCAAAACACTGTAGATCCTTTTTAAGTGTTTAAGATTTATACTGGACTTGTAATAAAACACTTTCCTTCATTCCCCAAATGACACAAGTCTGAAATTCATTAGGGCTTTCTAAATATGTACTCTACCAATTTTATCATATTATCAAAACACAGAAACTTGAAGCTTCCACCAAAGCTCAGTAATACCAATTGTAGCACATACTGATACCTGTTTGTGTGAAGACAGAGATTTCCTAGAATAACATGAACACTATCCCTGTGCTGTCAAAAATAATTATCTTCTCTTGTAGCTGTCAAATCAGAGAACACATTCGCTCCCTGCAAAGCAACAGAACACTTATGCTAAATCCATGAAATTCTGTGTTTCAGCCAATCCATTTGCCTTCACAAAGTACCTTGCAGATTAATTAGTAAGAGCTAAAAATTTCTTGCACAACAGTGCCCTGAGTGCAGTTGCACTTGCACCAAAGCCTCTGAAATGTGCTCGCCACATGTGAGCTGGAACAACGATGGACAAGGAACAACACCAGCAGCTCATGGGTTTTTTCCCCTAAAGCAAGTAAAAAAAGAACTGTGAGAGTATCTCCAAACACAGACAACCCAAGTGTTCGAGTGTCCAAGCACATGTGAAAGCGAATTCATTACCTCTGAAAAAAAGGAAAAAAATCCACTTTACACCACTTTAACTGAGAACAGAATCTGGCCCTTTGACAACTGGCTGTTCTATACAATATTAATATCACTGGCTGGCACACATAAGATTTAAGCACTTTCCATGTCTGGAACCAGATCTCGTCTTTCACTGGTATCGAGGGGCCTTTAACCTACATTCTGTAACTTACCAGTAACAGATGAAAAGAGCACACACTCCCTTGCCTTCAACCAGAGGGTTCACCCTGCTTGCACTATACCATAACCATTCCATAAATCCATATAAAAAACTAATCCTAATTTACAGAGAGTAAATCTAATAAAAGCAGAATGGTTTCCAGAAGGATCTCATGGAAGTGGAATCCATCAAGGTAACTTTTGTCTTTTTGTGTCCTGCAGTTTTGATTTATATCTTCACATTTAAGTGTTCACAAGGGAATGGAAGGAGTTGATACAGTAGTGTGCAAAGGCTGCAATCAGGCAATTCCTTCCATATGAGTAATCAAGTTAGTTCAGGTTTGGATATCTTGCTTCTTTCATTTTGGGGTAACTAACTTTAGGGGAGTTTTTCTTGATTTATGCCAGATTAAGTCACGTGACAATTGGTCCCATGGACTGTGGTGAGGCTGCACACCTCGGAAAGGACAGCTCACACTGGTCAGGACCTGTAGGTCAGCCCTACGTTTCTTGCTAGGGGTAAATTCTCCTAGAACAAAACAGAACATTTCCTTACACAAAGCTAAACCTGTCTGTCCAACAATGAGATCAACATTTAAGACACCCCTACTAAAGGGCAATAGCTCTCTTTCTTCCCTAGGGAACACCTTGTTTACCATTCAGGAAGGCTTCACCCTCATTGACAAAATTAGCTATTAAGGCTAAGAAGATAAGAGCAAGAAAATTTACCGAAAGGATAATTATTCAACAATAAATGCATGTTGCAGTGCTTTGGAGTTTACCTAATTAAGACCAATGAACAAATAACTGAAAGATGTCTAATTGAAATGACTCACATTCGAAATAGAGACAGATTTGAAATATTTGCCTAACATACTAGATATCCCCAGAGAGTTGTGGGTTTTGCGGCAAAGACCAAACTAGGTCATTTGCCTTTTTTTTCTTACTGTTCATTCTCTTTAATTACTTCTTGTTAAAAAAAAAAATAAAATTTGCCATTCTTGGTTTTGTTTGGATGTGATGTCCAAAATTTACCACGACAACACTGAGAAATGGAACGCTGTTACTGGCAGCTAGATGAGTCACGTGAGACGAGTGAAAGACCAAACAGTACCAGATTTTCTCAAACAAGTGAAAATCATCCACCATGGAAGAAGCCACCACATCTCTCCACCGAGAGGAAATTATTAACTCAAAAGCTGCCAACACAGCAAAGCCATGGGAGAGAAGGTGTCATACCCACCCTCAGCATCTCGTTACATATAATGAGTCGTGAATAATCCACAGCCCTGAGTGTTTGGGGTGACTGCCACACCTCCTACACAGTCAGTAATTCAAACCCATGCAGAGAGATGCACAGCACTGTGCTGCTGACTGAAAGCTCTAATGAACAAACTGAGTGCTTCAAAACACTGAATCTTCAAAGCGATTCATGAAATAGGCCATTTTTGACGTTTTCAACAATAACAACAAAATCAACACTTTGCCAAAGTTTTTATGCTTGTCATGCCATTCTCTATGGTGAATGGGAGGAATTGTCTTAATCCTGTGACCCCAAGCGTTAGGGGCAGAAAAGTAGCAAAGGAAAAGAAAGCAAAGGATGGGAAATAGATATTAGAGTTGTTCTTACACCCCGTACAAGGCAGGCCCAACTGTGTGACTGTGGAGACAGATTTTCTGTGCCTTGTGGAAAAAACATGGCTTCTCCTTTGTTTCAGTGAACCACTATTAGCAGAGATACAAGTTTGGGGTCTAAAGTTTTCTATTATGGACAAAAGAGAAGGAAAAACATTTAGAAGTAGCTGGAGTGATTAGCCACAGATGCCATTACAGCCTTAGCAGACTTTACCCAAGTATTTTCAGGTTTTTCAGTATTTATCCAGGTATTTTCAGTTAGATCCTAGAACAAGACATCCTAAACAATGACTTCCAGATCCAAAAAGAAAGAATGCTCAGATTTTTTTCTTGGCCAGTTTCTTGACAGTCATTTGCACCATCTCATATACAACAAACCTCTAGACATTTGGGTTTTTCACTCCTTCATAGAGGAAAGTTCTGCACTCTGAGTCTCTTTTGTTGCTGTTGGCCTCCCCTGAGGATGGAAATGGTTAACAGTAGCAGCACTAAATTTTCACTGCTCCATTCAAGAGTTCCTGTGTCAAAGAGGAACAAAGCAGCTCACGCCACACCCCAGGTTCACCCTGGATCTCTGTATCAGTTACAACCTGTTCACATTTTAAGGTCTGTTTCATACAGCTGATAGAGACATGGCTTCATTTATTTCTAATGCTTGTACACTACCTTAATAAAAACACAGTGAGAGCCAAAATATTCTTTATCACTGAGCAGACCATAATAAATAGTGAGAGTCAAGTGAAGACAAAAATTGTCCTACTCTGGAGTTTCAAAACAGGGGTGGAAGATCCTCTGCCTATTTCCAAATAGGTACAGATGACAAGAATCTATAAAAGATCAGGATTAAAACCAATAGCACAGAACAAGATTAGAATAAAAAAAGGTCTCTTTCCTCCCAAGTTTTTATGAACCATGCAATAAAATCCTACAACAAAAATACTCATTTCTTTGCTTTCACATTGATGTATGAGTGAAGACAGAAGGGCTAAGGAAACCCTTGTAAACTAAAACAACCCAGATAGAGAAATAATTTGTAGAGTATCAATCTTGAAAACTCATGGAAGATAAATACAAGCCATGTGTGCCTTTCTAGTAAATTCTGGACCCTAAGTGTTGGCCACAGCCATATTTGTTATTTCATGTTCAATTTATTTTTAAAACTAGTTATTTGGATTGCATTATATTTCTGTTCTGGGGAATTTATTTTTGCAGACTACACACAGTATTTTAGGAGAGTGAATGTAGTATGGCCAGCACTACCGAATAAAGCAACATGGTTAATTTTATATCAGTACAGCTTAACACAATTTGAAAACAGTTCAGTAGTTTATAGATCTGTAACCTTTTCACTTTCAAGCACGTGGATAGATTTGGCTCCCATATTTGACTTTATCATGATATTTTAAGGGCAGCAAAGAACACATAATAATCTACTGCATCTTTCATTGCTAAACCAGCTGCAATGTTACAAAGTTTAGATTTCCATCTGAGACCTGCACAACACTTTTTCAACTTAGCAAGTACAGCCAAGATTCAGGAAAACACACGCCATGAGCTTTAGTTCCAGTGACTGCACAGCCTCAGCTGATGTTCTGAGTTAGACTCTAGGTGTGTAAGGACAGAACCGTTTTAGCCAATAGTGAACAGATTCTCAGAAAAACAGAGAAATACACTGTCTACAATCAAAAGGAGTCTTTCCCTACGAGCAGGTTTGAAACTCAACATTCTTGGCTTCTATTTGGATCTCAGACCTTTAAATTATACACCCAAACAGAGGTAAGAGCAGACTGAAAATGACCATTGGCCTCTTTTGTAACAATCAGGACAAAACCTTTCATAACTGGATGAAACACAGGTCTTGTCATTACATTCACTGTTA